TTGTTCTTTAATCAATTTATTTTATACACGACTTTCAATTTTATAAAATAGAATACAAACGATACGATATAATCTTTCTAAGCTAACAAACTAGCTTATTCGCAACAAAATAGCTGTATAGACAGCCTACTAGAACACGATAGTAAACAAGTGGTGGGCGTACGAAAAGAACGCAAAGCTTTGAAGAAACCGATTTGCATTTGGTTGAAACCTTCGTAGACTTGACTTGCGTCAGATAGAAAATAGAGTATATTATTTTTATTTTATTTTTTTTTACTTTTGGTTTCCTTGGACTTCTATATTATATATTTTTAGGGAAGATTTTTCTATAGAATATATATTATGACAATATTTGGACAAGCCAAGTGTCTTTTTCATTCGAACATATATATTTCTTTCCATATATTAAAAATAATAGTATATTGTTTTATTATGAGTAAAAATGACACTTTTTGTGTCAAGGCTGTATATACGTTTGACATTACACGAGGAAAAAAAAGTAATTTTACCCCGAATAGAAAATGCTATTTTTTTTCAAACGCCACAAATAATTTTCTAAACAATTTCAAAGGTTCCAAATAATGGAACTATGAGTGGATTATGATGGAGAAACTATGGTTACGCTCGTTGAATTTGACACCCTATGTCAGTTTAAAAATATATTTTCGTGACGTTTGAAAAAAAAAGTGCCCTCTTTTGTGACGTTTGAAAAAAAAGGATATTATTAATAAATGGATAGTATATCAGAATATTCTCGAACATGATGAAAAGACTTTTTTTAAAAAGACATTTCAAACTTGAAAATAAAAAAGATACCAGTAGATTCTTTTGTCAAAGTAATTAATTTTAGTTCCTTTTTGCATGGCTGGCCTTTTCATTTTACTGATATACCGAAAAATGCTGTTACTGACGCTTTCTATGCTTCGAGCTGTTTTGTAGAACAGAAAGAACCACAGAAATTTTAGCGGTATTATTTTTTTTTAATCACGATCTCATTTAAAAATGTCGTTTTTTCCTAGAAAGAACCGTTATTATCATCAAAATTGGGAGCACTAACTTTTACAAAATATTTTCAGGAACTTAATATACAGGGTGGTTTGAATTGTCATCGGAAAACTTCGGCAACAGATTCTACAGATAAAAATAAGTAAAAAAGTTCGTATCGGTGATACAGGGTGTGGAAGTTTCAAAAAACAAGTAGGTGGCTCTCATATTCTCATGAAAAAAAATGAAGATAAAAATAATAAAAATATATAAAGATTTCACTAGAGATTTTAATAAAAAAAGTTATAATATTTAAATAAATCACTTAAGAGAAGGTTTAGTTTTACAACAACATTAAATACCTACTTATAATTTTAATTACTCTATAACAATAAAATTATAGTTTATAAAATGAATTATAGGAAAATTCCAAATAGCAAATAGACAATAAATATGTTTATCGGTATTTGATAGACATACAAAATAAATAAACATCAGGAATTGTCAATACCGTTATCGGTGATCGTTATTGGCAAATAAAGGTAGAATAATAAATAATGCGTTTATAATACACAGGTAAGTCAGATATATACAGGGTGTTCGTTAAAAGTAATAATTTTATTCATAAAATATTTTGCTAAAAATTCAATTTTTTGATTCAAACTTTCGGTTTAAAATAATTAGAACACGCTGTATATTATAAATTAAACTGTTTTGTTATTTAAAATTACATGTCATTGACTCTTACATAAAAAAAATATCCTTATGTTATAAAACTGCTTCTTAATTGCAAGAATAATCAAACTTCATCAATGTATTAAATTAGGCTAGTCGAAAGAGTTTATGGGCAAATTAGAAAAAAAATCATTTCTTTGAAATTAAAAAGCACTTTACATAAATAATAAATATAATAGCATACAATCGAAAAAAAAAACGACGTCAAAGACGGCTGGAAAATATGACAATCGATGATAATTTTGGCGAGGTCAAGCCCTAGACAAAGTCTACAGAATAAACGTTTAATCTTTATATAATTAGTGTTAATTTTTGTCAAGTTTTATGCCAATCTTTAGTACATGACGTCGAGAGATTGACCTCCTTAAAATTATCATCGTTTTTCATTTTCCAGCCTTGTTTGACACCGTTTTTTTCGATCATACAATATTTTTATATAATTCATTTGTACCTTTTCAGGATTTTCAGTACCTACTTCATTGATTTTTTAAAATCTGAAAACCAGAGGACAATACATAGGTATATTATTTTTTTAATGAAAAGTACCGTACTTCACTAAACTCATAATTATATGTAAACATTTTTTTAAACCTCATTAAGTACCAAACAAAGACAAGAATAAAAAATAAATTTAAAAACAATTTAATTGAAAAATATATATTCAAAAAGCATATCAAAATAAAATTTAAGGTAGGTGCTTGTTACACAAACCAAGAGAAAAAAATGGTACTACCAATGGTAGGATTTCTTAAAAAAATATCACAGTAACTCAACAGCAACAATATTCCTAATTAATTAAATAAATTAATTAAATTCGCGACTACATGGAAATGCAAAATTTATTCAGTACCTGGTAAGTACTATAAAAACAACAAACAGATGATCTTACGAGACAGAAAAAGACTAGCGGGTAATGGATTTGCATCAGCCATATTCGACTGATCTTGAATTGGTACTGAAATTTGTGCGATAGTATCACGGTAATCGACAACAATGGTACAGCGTTTTTTTAAAGGAATTTCGCCTGTTTCTGACTTCGATTTCGTTGAATCGAACAACTTTTTGATTGAATTGACAACACTGCCAAGTACTAGTAGTTTTTTTTTCGTCTAGGGAGTAAAAAATATTGTTTATTTTCGATCAAACCTATAGACAATTACGAAATTTTGTCACTGTTAAAAATTGTAAACAATACACATTGTTCTAGCAATAAAAAAGTAACATTTTACTCCCACTCTTTTTAGTTAATACATTATTGTTTGTAGTTTAAACAATATATAATCAACTGATATTTGTCCAGAACATAAACAAAGAAACAATATTCTATGATTTAATGTAGTTTTTGTTCATAATAAAGTAATAAAAAAATATTTTTAAAATTGGTATTATGGCGGATGCGCTGGAAAACAGCTTACTTACAGAGCTGTACTAAGGAATATGCCCTTAGAGTTTTTCTCACTTATAAGAAATAAAAATCTTGTCTGTTACCTTAAAGTTTCTAGAGAACCTTAAATAACTAAAAGCTAAAAAATATCCGTTCTTTTTTTAAATTTTAAAATTAAAAAAAAATTTCGCGAAAAAAAACATCATAATCGTGTTTTGAGAGTCAAAATCTACTATCCCTAAAAATATTTGCACTTATTTAAGACATACCCTGTATAATTAATAAATAAATAGCTAAAATACCAAAGAACTAAAAAAAAACAGCATCAGAGTTCGCTTGGAAATGACAACTGATGACAATTACCTTATTAATCCATCGGTAAATACCGAAAAAAAAACGGCGTCAGCGATGGCAATGAAATGAGGCTCTCTGCTATGCTCTCTGTCATTTTATATATAAAATTATAAAGGAAATGTTATCGATTATCATTTTCAAGCTAACTGGACGCCGTTTTTCTCAATCATACGGTATTTTAATACTTGTTTTTTTAAATGCTCTTATAGCAATAAACTGTATGGTATAATTTTATTTGGTAATTATTGGGAAAACTGGAAATCGTTAGATTTTCACAAAAATTGGTATACACCCTATTTTGAGGTCGTGGATTACGAATCTGAAGTTTTTTCTTGGCGGTCTCTTACCGTTTTTCAGAAAAATGGAAAATTATTTCAACATTGAATTTTTCTTAATTTCTCATATTTTTAAGATGTTCTAACACATATTTTGTTAGGTATTCAATAAACAATGATGTTATTGCTATTTTCTGTTACTTTTTTAACCAATTCTATGCATAATAGAGGAAAATTTGCTAAAATAAATATGTAAACAATCTGAAAATGTTGGGTTATGTGTTTCTGGCATTTAAAGCAACGTTGCCAATGCTAAACCTAAATTTAGCATGTTTTTTTGCTCATTCTGGGATTACGAAAGGCGGTCGCCAGGAGAACGGCTCCTTCCCATAATTGCTATTTTACCAACGAGATCTGACTATTTATAACCACGAAGTTGCACGAAAGAATGATTGCATTGGTTACAACTTCCATGCAGAGGGTGTTAATCTTTTGTTGTTATATTATATCAAAAAAAGATTAACCCCCTCCGCATAGAAGTTGAAACCAATGCAATCAAAACTCCGCGTAACTTTGTGGATATAGGTATAGGTATATTTAATATGTCGATCTCATAATAGGTAATTTATTTAAAATTCCTAATCACCCGAAAAAATAGAAGATATGGCAACGTTGTAAATTTTCAAACTTCTAGATTAGGTCTAGAATTTATTTGTCTCTCTCATTACATAGGAGAGAGAAAGAAGGATTTATCAAATGTCAAACTTCCATCTGGTCTTAATTTTCTTTGTTATTTTGTTAAGAAAAGTGTTTTTCAGTAAAATTTTGGATATTTTTCTATCCCCAATCAAGTGTGGCTTTAGGTAAACTATAATATAATGAAAATATAGTGAAATTATTGCTTTATAGGGCCGAAATAAAGAAAAATTCAATGTTGAAATAATTTTCCGTTTTTCTGAAAAACGGTAAGAGACCGCCAAGAAAAAAGTTCAGATACGTAATATACGACTTCAAAATAGTGTGTATATCAATTTTGGTGAAAATCTGACAATTTTCAGTTTTCCCAATAATTACTTTCATTTTTTACCTTTTTTTAATTAAATCTAACATTACATTAATTTAAAAAAAAATATTTGAAATAATTAGTAAAAAAGTTAAATAAATAAATATATTTTAATACCATCCTGTACAATACCTTTGAAAGAATACCTGGTTACCTACACACTAAGGGGCCATATAAAGACATAAACAAAAACAAAATCATCTAAAATTTTTAGGTTATAATCCTGGATTCGAAAGATTTTCAATTTATTTTGTCCCATTTTGTCAACTCATTACGCAATTTCGTTCTATTTACCTATATACAGTAGTTGTTTGTAGATTTCCTATAATTATTTACATCAGCTGTCATTTATTGTCTGATTTCATGAGCAAACAAAAATCGTTTGGATTTATTTTGTATTTGTTTTTTAGAATCAAGATCACAAGCACTCTTTGATGTAGATTATTTAATGATTAAGTTAATTATTAAATGTTTTAGACTGTTCTTGATTGTTTAAAAGAAATGGTAAGTACTTATTTGTTGTAGTGACCAAGAATATAATCTTTTTTATCTTCAGAGCATTGCCCCGTATCGGTATCTGAGACTTTATCATTAAATCGTACAGTTTTTGTCTTTATTCTTTAATAAGTAATTCCACTAATTGAATGTACTTTTAACGCGAAAAAAGTATTCTGTCTGCTATAAACTGATGTAAGATAATGTTTCGTTAGATAAAAGATTATAACAATGTCTATTTAACAATTTACTTAAGTTTAGTTGGGGTTTATGAATGCATTGTCTTAATAAATGTTATATTTTCGAACAATGGTGATAAAATAGATGATTTCTAATGTTGGGATTTTATTTTCAATTGTAGAAAAGTTTTTGTATTGATGTGAGTGTATCATGGATAAGTCTGGAGAAAAGAAATCCGAAACCTACTATCCGGATGGTGGATATGGTTGGATTATTGTTTGTGCCATCATTTTAATCAATGTGAGTATATAAAAGCGTTCAATATTTTTAATCAGAGAGAGAGAGAATAAAATTGAATTTTAAATAGTACTAAATATATCTGATTTCATTTATTTTTACTGTTTCTTTTCTGGTTTATTTTAGGTAAGCTTACTGACTTTAGTGCCATGTTTTGGAATCATTTTTAGAGACGAATTTAAAGAATGGGGTATTACAGCAGCACAAACATCATTTTTACTACATTTACAAAGTTCACTATACTGTTGTTTTGGTGAGTCTATCTAGTATAAGTGTATTAAATTAAAAAAAAATAGTTAAATATATTTTTTTCTCCATTTTTATGAAGACTATTATTGATGGATCATGATTTTTTTAGGATTTTTTACAAGTCCGTTTTTGAAAATGTATGGAATGAGGAAAGTGGCATTTTTTGGGGCGTTTTTGATGTCTTTGGGTATATTTTTGACCAGTTTTGGTACATCATATTTTTTTTTGATCTTTTCCGTTTCAGTTTTAACAGGTGAGTATTTTTTTTTGATATTATTAACCCAATACTCAATTTCTGGCATTCAGCAATATCATAAATTAATATTTAGTGTTTCTAAACTTAGGTATTAATAAATAATTATATAAATTTCATCCCCATGTTACCTTTTAAAGGGTTGAAAGTTTATAGTGCTTTATTTTGATCCTTTAGCATAAATAATATTTTTTAAATATTTAAATTTGTTGTTTTATTTGTCTCTTGTCTCTGTTTTTTTTTTGGTAGGTATGGGACAAGGCACTCTGATGCCAGCCACATATTTAGCAACGTATACGTACTTTAAGAAAAGACTCACAGTAGCTACGAGTTTGTCAGTAACAGGGGCTAGTATGGCGCCTATTTTTATGCCAAAAATCTGTGATATACTCCTGACGAAATTCGGTAGAAGATTTACAGTGTTATTCCTATTTTTTGTCTCTTTATTGTCATTGATTGGATGTTTTTTACTCAAACCTGTCAAGCAAAAATCATCTGAAGAGAATGAAAATGATATTAAATTAAACAGTGAGGTTAGAATACATCAAAATTATTTTTAAAGAGAGAATTTTTGTAGTTTTTTTTTGTATTTTTTTAGGTGGAGGTTAAGGAAGAATTATTAAAGACTATTGAGAATGGTGTTTATGAGAAAACAACCATTGAAAAACCGATGAATGTTTGGAAGAAATTGCTACATACTTTCGATCTTCATTTGCTTCAAGACGTGCCATTTGTATTAATAGTTTTGGGACTAGGTAAGTTAAAAAATATAAATATATTATTATATTATATTGACTAGGTTTTAATAACTTGTAGTTCTATAAAAATTAGAATTTTTTATGAGTATTAAGGATTGACGAATTGTATTATCAGATGCTTGAAATGCACGGGATTGTCTAAATTTATACTTTTATCCCATTCTTTGACTAAATATTGTCCTATTTGTAAAAATAAATCAAGATTGTAGGCATCAATTCGTTTGAAATTATAATAAGAAATAAATTGAAACCTGGCAACATGGCATTTTAAATAAAATTTTGAGGACCGCCGTCAATTTTAGCGCCTTTTCGGTAATTATGCTCTGTTGCCAAATTGCCTAGACGTATCAATACCCGCGAAATTATACAATTTCAAACTTTTTTTCCATCTTTCTGACTAAGCTTGCGTTGTATACAGGGTGTTCCTTAATGACATGCTAATATTTAAGGAGGTGATTTTTGGATCTATTCTAAGAAAAAACTTTATATGAATATATGTCCTAAACATCTTAACTTTTTAGATACAGGGAGGTAAAATATTCTATATTTTTTTTCAAAATACCTCTGATGGTGTATCGTGTGTCTTCCATAGATCAAAATGCTTATTTTTTTAAGGAAAAACTATGCTTCGGACAAAAATTAAGAGATTTTTTTATAAATGAATGGAGATTTTGAAAAAAAAAATATTTTAAGAGAATTCAGTGGTGTACCCCTTTTTTCTCCAAAATATTCAATGTAAAACCCGTAAGGACGGCACTGGTTGAAATAAATAAAATTCTTTGTACACCAAAAAAGGTATTTTGATGCGTAGAAGACGGGTATCAAGTTTCATAAAGATATCTAATAAAATCAGAGTTATTATGAATTGTATAGGAAAAAAGTTAAAGGCAGTACGCAATAATTCAGTTGAAATTACAATGACATGAAACATTTGGATATAAGACGTTTAATTTTAATAAAATGTTTGAGAATCGCCGACAAAGGCGGCATCATTTTATATTTTCCCTGTTGCCAGTTTGTTTAGAAGTACTCAAATGCTTGAAATTGTTTGATTTAATTGAAACTTTTATTTCCCTTTTTTTGACTTAATATTTCTTTGTATATAAAAAGAATCAATAGAGTAGACAATAATTTGGCTAAAGACAGCTTAATGACATAGAAATTAGAAAAACCATGAAAAATTACCATTATTTTATCTTAGTATTTATGAATAAAATGTTTAAAACCACCGATAATTTTCTTATCATTGTTCCCTGTTGTCAAATCGTCCCACAATTCAGCTAGTAATTGAAAAAAAAGTTTTTTTGTGCCACTTTTCTTTACTTTGTTGAAAAATTACAGAGAAAAAAATATTTCTTTGTTTTTAGGTGTATCTTTTGCATCAGAATTGAACATAATCCTGATGCTACAGTTCATCCTGCAGGAACTGTCACAATTTGAACGCAGTGAAGCAGCTGTAGCTATATCAGTTATGAGCATAACTGATATATTGGGTCGATTGGTAGTACCTATGGTGGCTCATATGTTCAATGCACCACCTAAGCTTATGTATGGAGGCGCATTAGTTGTTGCAAGCATAGGTAGAACAGGTAAGGGTAAAAAATATACTGTATGATAAAAAAAACGACGTCATTTACTAAAAATTGTCAAAAATTATAGAAAGATCACTACTACCCCATTTAAAATTAATTACACCTTCTTAAATGATGTCTAGAGATTGACCTCGTCATAATTATCATCGATTGCCATTTCCCAGCCTTCTTTGACGTCGTTTTTTTTTCATTGTATGGTACTAATAGTATTGCGCTGTAAAAAATATGTATTTAAAGAAAACTAACTGCAGATAGTTATAAAAATATTTGTTTTTTAGTTTTAGCTGGTTGGAGTAAAGAAGTGATCTTAGTGTTCATTTCAATAGGCCTTATAGGACTGACCAAAGGGTGCAGGGCAGTATTTCAGTCAGTAATAATCCCGAAATTCGTGGCTCTGGAAAAAATTCCGGGCGCAAATGGGATAAATATGCTATTTACTGGTGGCATTTCCTTAGTTATAGGACCTATAATAGGTAAGCATAGATAAAGTTTTAAGTGGCTGAATAAAAATGATTTATTTTTTTTTCGAAGGTTACTATGACACCGTTTTTTTTCGACCATACAGTATTTTAATGGCACATGTTTTTTGATGAACTTCTTTTTTATTATACAGGGTATTCACAAAATGAACGGTCAAATTTCAGAAGATAATTCCTCATCAAAAAAAATTGGAAAAAAGTTCCTATAAACATGGCTCCGTTGCCTAGTTTTAAGTATACAGGGTGTTAAAATTTTCAGGTGTTGAGAAATCACCACTTTAAATTTGGCTTGGAAAATTGGATTGATATTTCAAAGGCTACTATGACACCGTTTTTTTATCGTATAGTATTTTAATGGCACATTTTTTTTGATGAATTTTTTTCTTATTATACAGGATATTCTCAAAATGCACGGTCAAATTTCAAGAAGAATTTGGAACAAAGTTCCTATATACATCGCTCCAAAAATGCCTAGTTTTAAAGATACAGGGTATTAAACTTTTTAGGTGTTAATAACGATTTTTGATAAGAAATCGCCCCTTGAGATTTGGCTTGGAAAATTTTATGGATTAATATTTCAAAGGCTACTATGATGCCGTTTTTTTTTCGACCATACAGTATTTTAATGGCACATGTTTTTTGATGAATTTCTTTTTTTAGTATACAGTGTATTCACAAAATGAACGGTCAAATTTCAGAAGGTAATTCCTCATCAAAAAAAATTGGAAAAAAGTTCCTATAAACATGGCTCCGTTGCCTAGTTTTAAGTATACAGGGTGTTAACATTTTTAGATGTTGAGAAATCACCACTTTAAATTTGTCTTGGAAAATTGGATTGATATTTCAAAGGCTACTATGATGCCGTTTTTTTATCGTATAGTATTTTAATGGCACATTTTTTTTGATGAATTTTTTTCTTATTATACAGGATATTCTCAAAATGCACGGTCAAATTTCAGGAAGAATTTGGAACAAAGTTCCTATAAACATCGCTCCAAAAATGCCTAGTTTTAAAGATACAGGGTATTAAACTTTTTAGGTGTTAACAACGATTTTTGATAAGAAATCGCCCCTTGAGATTGGCTTGGAAAATTTTATGGATTGATATTTCAAAGGCTGCTATGATGCCGTTTTTTTTTCGGCCATACAGTTTCTTAATGGCACATGTTTTCTGGTATTTTTTTTATTATACAGGGTATTCACAAAATGCACGGTTAAATTTAACCCTGATCAAAAAAAGTTGGTAAAAAGTTCCTATAAACATTGCTCCGTTGTCTAGTTTTAAGTATACAGGGTGTTAAAATTTTCAGGTGTTGAGAAATCACCACTTTAAATTTGGCTTGGAAAATTGGATTGATATTTCAAAGGCTACTATGACACCGTTTTTTTATCGTATAGTATTTTAGTGGCACATTTTTTTTGATGATTTTTTTTTATTATACAGGATATTCTCAAAATGCACGGTCAAATTTCAGGAAGAATTTGGAACAAAGTTCCTATATACATGACTCCAAAAATGTCTAGTTTTAAAGATACAGGGTGTTATAAGATTTTTAGGTGTTAATGAATGATTGCTCCTTGAAATTTGACCTGGAAAATGTTATGGATTGATATTTCAAAGGCTACTATGACACCATTTTTTTTCTCGATCATTCAGGATTTTAATGACACATAATTTTTGATGATTTTCCTGTTTATTATATTATATTTAGCGTGATTTTATTTTTTTGTGTTGTAGGTGTGATTCACGATAAGACGGGTTCGTATTTTTATGCATTACATGCATCTACAGTGTTGTCACTTTTATGCGTGACGCTCTGGATTGTGGAGTTGATTTACGAAAAAAGACGATATAGGAGTGCCAAAGTATGACGTTGATTATGTCAATAGGAATGTTTAGTTTAATTTATTTTATGTAAAAGATATTATAAGATATAATTATAAATAATTTTGTTTATATTGAGTGATATAAAAATAAGTACCAGTGAGTTTTTTATACATTTATTGAAATAAAAATGTATCGATGTTTGTGTTTTTCTTGTACCATCGATGATAATTTTGACGAGGTCAAGCCCTATTATAGACGTCATATACTTGGTTGTAATTTATTTTTGTATTGAGTCAAAAATTATTTTTAAATGGTGTAATTTAAAGTTAGAGAAAAAATAATTTTTGGAAAATACACGAAATGATCGAAAAACAAACGGCGTCAGCGATGGCTATGAAATGAAGATCGCTATGGGGAATGTTATTGATAGTCATTTCCAAGCTAACTGGACGCCGTTTTTTTTCTCGATCATATGGTATTTGTATGTCACGAAACGTAATATCGTTTTTAATATTTCTATAATTAGTAATGGTGATTTGAAAAATGATGTCTATAGAGATTGACCTCGACAAAATTATCATCAATTACCATTCTCCAGCCGTCTTTGATGACGTTTTTTTTTCGTTCATATGGTATAAATATCTAAAAAAAAGCGATATTCTTAAATATTTATTAAAAAAAATAAAAATTAGATTAAAATAAACAATATACAAGATATTTTCAAAGTTAATTTTATAGCTCTATCTAGTTTTCATTGTCTAAAATGCTTTTGAGACTTTTCTGTTAGTAATTTTTCATAAGAAGTTTAGGCAATTGCTTCATAGATGGCACTAAATACTTTATATCTTTACACTTATCTTTACACTTTATATCTTTGGCTTGTTAAGCAACTTTTATCTTACTTCTACGCGCCACTGTCTACCCAGATAACAGTATCAAAGGAAGGAAATGGTATATTATACAGGGTAAGTAGATATCTATTATTTATAACACCGGAAATAACCCGCAATGTCTAGGTATACAATTTAAAAGGTGAAGAATGAAATCTCGAGTGGTGTTAAAATATTTGTAGGCCTTATTGAGGAAGATGTAAAAAGTATTATTATCATTATTTCTTCAGATTTTATGATGTGTCTCACAAGGACCAGGGTTGTAAAGTTAAAGGTGTTATTGTTCATGTTTCTGGTACCTTTTTTGTTACCTTGAAGTGGTATCTAAAATTTACTATTTTCGAAATATGAACGAAAAATATATACTCGCACCTTTATAGGCTGTCGTTATTTTTGAAAAAATTGAGTACGTCATAGTTACTGATATAGAAAACTGAGTTTATAATTCACGAACAGAAAATTTCGTGTGATACTTATTTGCTATACGGTAGCTCCGCTTATTTCTATAATTTTTTAAATCTGAAACAAACAGGACCAATATTTGTATCGTTGAAAAAAATATTAATAAAATTCCAAAGAAATCGAAACTGCCCTTGTCGTATACAGAATTTTATATTCTATCAGAATATATCTTGGTACGATATCAAATGTTTATAGTTTTGAGGGAGAATGAGGGAGAGACAGCGGTTGTTCCGTTTAATCTGTCTTAAAGATAAAAAAACAGTATGAGTTTCAACACCCTTGAAAAAAATATTAATAAAAGTCCAAGAGAATCGAAACTGCCCTTGTCGTATAGAGAATTTTATATTCTATCAGAATATGTCTTGATGCGACCTCAAATATTAATAGTTTTGAGGGAGAGACAGCGGTTGTCCTGCTTATTTTGTCTTAAAGATGAAAAAACAATATGAGTTTTAACACCCTCGAAAAAAATATTAATTAAATTCCAAAGAAATCGAAACTGTACTTGGCGTATGTAGAATTTTATATTCTATCAGAATATGTCTTGGCACGACCTCAAATATTAATAGTTTTGAGGGTGAGACAGCGGTTGTCCCGCTTAATCTGCCTTAAAGATGAAAAGGCAGTATGAGTTTTAACACCCTTGAAAAAAATATTAATAAAAGTCCAAGAGAATCGAAACTGCCCTTGTCGTATAGAGAATTTTATATTCTATCAGAATATGTCTTGATACGACCTCAAATATTAATAGTTTTAAGGGAGAGTGAGGGAGAGACAGCGGTTGTCCTGCTTATTTTGTCTTAAAGATTGAAAAACAATATGAGTTTTAACACCCTCGAAAAAAATATTAATTAAATTCCAAAAAAATCGAAACGATACTTGTCGTATGTAGAATTTTAGAATATGTCTTGGTACGACCTCAAATATTAATAGTTTTGAGGGAGAATGAGGGAGAGACAGGTTGTCCTTGCTTATTTTGTCTTAAAGATGAAAAAACAGTATGAGTTTTAACACCCTTGAAAAAAATATTAATAAAAGTCCAAGAGAATCGAAACTGCCCTTGTCGTATAGAGAATTTTATATTCTATCAGAATATGTCTTGATACGACCTCAAATATTAATAGTTTTAAGGGAGAGTGAGGGAGAGACAGCGGTTGTCCTGCTTATTTTGTCTTAAAGATAGAAAAACAATTTGAGTTTTAACACCCTCGAAAAAAATATTAAGTAAATTCCAAAGAAATCGAAACGATACTTGTCGTATGTAGAATTTTATATTCTATTAGAATATGTCTTGGTACGACCTCAAATATTAATAGTTTTGAGGGAGAATGAGGGAGAGACAGCGGTTGTCCTGCTTATTTTGTCTTAAAGATGAAAAAACAATATGAGTTTTAACACCCTCGAAAACAATATTAATTAAATTCCAAAGAAATCGAAACGATACTTGTTGTATGTAGAATTTTATATTCTATTAGAATATGTCTTGGTACGACCCCAAATATTAATAGTTTTGAGGGAGAGACAGCGGTTGTCCTGCTTATTTTGTCTTAAAGATGAAAAAACAGTATGAGTTTTAACACCCTTGAAAAAAAAATATTAAAAAGTCCAAGAGAATCGAAACTGCCCTTGTCGTATAGAGAATTTTATATTCTATAAGAATATGTCTTTGATACGACCTCAAATATTAATAGTTTTATGAGGAGAGTGAGGGAGAGACAGCGGTGGTTGTCCTGCTGGATTTTGTCTTTAAAGATTAAAAACAATATGAGTTTTAACACTCTCGAAAAAAATATTAATTAAATTCTAAAGAAATCGAAACGATACTTGTCGTATGTAGAATTTTATATTCTATTAGAATATGTCTTGGTACGACCTCAAATATTAATAGTTTTGAGGGAGAATGAGGGAGAGACAGCGGTTGTCCTGCTTATTTTGTCTTAAAGATGAAAAAACGGTATGAGTTTTAACACCCTTGGAAAAAATATTAATAAAAGTCCAAGAGAATCGAAACTGCCCTTTTCGTATAGAGAATTTTATATTCTATCAGACCATGTCTTGGTACGACCTTAAATATTTATAGTTTTGAGGGAGAGTGAGGGAGAGACAGCGGTTGTCCTGCTTATTTTGTCTTAAAGATTGAAAAACAATATGAGTTTTAACACCCTCGAAAAAAATATTAATTAAATTCCAAGAGAATCGAAACTGCCCTTGTCGTATAGAGAATTTTATATTCTATCAGAATATGTCTTGATACGACCTCAAATATTAATAGTTTTAAGGGAGAGTGAGGGAGAGACAGCGGTTGTCCTGCTTATTTTGTCTTAAAGATGAAAAAACGGTATGAGTTTTAACACCCTTGGAAAAAATATTAATAAAAGTCCAAGAGAATCGAAACTGCCCTTTTCGTATAGATAATTTTATATTCTATCAGACCATGTCTTGGTACGACCTTAAATATTTATAGTTTTGAGGGAGAGTGAGTGCCCTTGTCGTATAGAGAATTTTATATTCTATAAGAATATGTCTTGATACGACCTCAAATATTAATAGTTTTAAGGGAGAGTGAGGGAGAGACAGCGGTTGTCCTGCTGATTTTGTCTTAAAGATTAAAAAACAATATGAGTTTTAACACTCTCGAAAAAAATATTAATTAAATTCTAAAGAAATCGAAACGATACTTGTCGTATGTAGAATTTTATATTCTATTAGAATATGTCTTGGTACGACCTCAAATATTAATAGTTTTGAGGGAGAATGAGGGAGAGACAGCGGTTGTCCTGCTTATTTTGTCTTAAAGATGAAAAAACGGTATGAGTTTTAACACCCTTGGAAAAATATTAATAAAGTCCAAGAGAATCGAAACTGCCCCTTTCGTATAGAGAATTTTATATTCTATCAGACCATGTCTTGGGTACGACCTTAAATATTTATAGTTTTGAGGGAGAGTGAGGGAGACAGCGGTTGTCCTGCTTATTTTGTCTTTAAAAGATTGAAAAACAATATGAGTTTTAACACCCCTCGAAAAAAATATTAATTAAATTCCAAGAGAATCGAAACTGCCCTTGTCGTATAGAGAATTTTATATTCTATCAGAATATGTCTTGATACGACCTCAAATATTAATAGTTTTAAGGGAGAGTGAGGGAGAGACAGCGGTTGTCCTGCTTATTTTGTCTTAAAGATGAAAAAACGGTATGAGTTTTAACACCCTTGGAAAAAATATTAATAAAAGTCCAAGAGAATCGAAACTGCCCTTTTCGTATAGATAATTTTATATTCTATCAGACCATGTCTTGGTACGACCTTAAATATTTATAGTTTTGAGGGAGAGTGAGGGAGAGACAGCGGTTGTCCTGCTTATTTTGTCTTAAAGATTGAAAAACAATATGAGTTTTAACACCCTCGAAAAAAATATTAATTAAATTCCAAAGAAATCGAAACGATACTTGTCGTATGTAGAATTTTAGAATATGTCTTGGTACGACCTCAAATATTAATAGTTTTGAGGGAGAATGAGGGAGAGACAGCGGTTGTCCTGCTTATTTTGTCTTAAAGATGAAAAAACAGTATGAGTTTTAACACCCTTGAAAAAAATATTAATAAAAGTCCAAGAGAATCGAAACTGCCCTTGTCGTATAGAGAATTTTATATTCTATCAGAATATGTCTTGATACGACCTCAAATATTAATAGTTTTAAGGGAGAGTGAGGAAGAGACAGCGGTTGTCCTGCTTATTTTGTCTAATATTAATAAAAATCTAAGAGAATCGAAACTGCCCTTGTCGTATAGAGAATTTTATATTCTATCAGAATTGAAGAA